GCCAATGTCGGTGGCCCTCCTGAGCCAGCGCATCCAACGCCGGAGCCCCGCGCAGGCTTCGCTTGGCGACCCTGCTTCAGGTGGATCTTCGAGTTGTCGAAGGATGATGGTGCGTTCATGAGCGCCGCCTGGTTGATATAGAACCATAAGCTTGCTCACCAATCCCAAAGGCGACAACGCCCGCGTCGCCACAAGTTCCTCTTTCACGGTTGCGGGAACTGAGGAAAGTAGCGTGCTGATTGCTCTCTTTTCGACTCGAGCCCATGCAACTCCGCGGACGGCTCAATCTTGGACGCAGCTCTTTGTATAGGTCGAAGCTTGATGTATTGCTTGTACCAAGATCTTGCCTCGCTCACCACCAACTCCCACCACTCGCCCGACGAGTCACTAAGGTCTGTCATCGCCGGTTCAATCATGGTGAGCCAGTCGGCCAGAACGATTGGAGCCGTGTCGGATGGCTCTGCCAGGACTGGAAGGGCGACCGTTCCCGGCTTGACCGACTCAGGTCCCTCTTCCTTCTTCTCCTAGTCGAACAAGTAGGTGATCAACTTGGACATGGCATCCACCATACCACCTCCACCTTCACCAGATGGGTCTTCCTTTGCATTGGCGGTAGAAGAACGACCAGGGTGATCCGCAGCAGACTTCTTCTTTGCTTGACCCACCCCTTTTCCAGTTCCTTGTCGCCCCTCCGCCTCGAATCCCTTGGCCCGAGTTGCCACCAATCCTTCTTGTTGACCTCCTCCTGGACGAGTGGTTCTTGGCAGTTCTTGGACCTTGCTGGGATCTTGACCTCTCCCGTTGCCCTTTGCCCTCGGCCACCTCGCTTTGCAGGTGTCGGAGTGATGGTTCCCATCAAGGATTGGAGCTGCTCAAACTGTTGCATCGGAGTCAACTCATACAGGCGACGTCGTTCAACCTCCAGGTCCGTCTCCTTCGGCTGCTCGTCGACTGTCATCTCCAGCTGTCGCTTCACAAACTCATTGCTCTCGGGCGTTCGGAAAGTCTGTTGCTCCAGCTCCCTCTGAAGGTCGTGGACCTTTGCCTCCAGGCCAGCTCTCTGGTACTTCATGGCGTCCATGAGCTCCGCCTGCTGCACTTGCAACTGTTGGTTCTCTTGTCTCAACATAGCCAACATGGTCATCATCTCTTGAGGGCTCGGTGGACCTGGACCGTATGGATGAAGTTGAACTTGCCATCCTCCTTGGTGCGGCATTGGTCCCCTCCTCTCTTCATGGAGCATGATGTACCCAGGTGGCCCATTCTGTCCAAAGCCCCTTGGGACATGTAGACCTCTTCCTCCCGGTCCATTCCCTTGAACTTGGACAACAGATCGTTCTCGTAGTTGCTCTTGTCCCTCACCCTCACTGCCGCTTCCGGGTTCTTGTACTTCAGGTACCCGTGGTTCTCTTGGTCGCCCACGCCTCCGGTGACTTGGTACCCATCCCAGGCTGCCAAATGCTTTGCCTCGGAGCTTGGGCATAAAGGTGCGGTGCTTGACTTTGAACTTCATGAAGTCCCCTCAGCTGCTCAGGCGTGAAGAGAGAAGTCAACGGCGTCAATGTAGTCGGCGGGCCCTTAGGGCCTTCCATAACCTCCCCCCCTCTTCACCATCTTCTAAGGCCAGCTGGCCCTCCTCCAGCTGCCCATCTTGTACATGATGGTCTCCCTGATCGTCATGGCCATCTTCTTCATCGCCATCGCCGGGAGCCCTTCGCCTGCGTCGCACCACCATCGACATGGCGGCAAGTGGCTGGGGCGGCCTTCTTTCGAAGGTCTTACACCTGCGACCTTGGGCCATAACCTGCACGTGCTGCCCTCGCACATTTGTCTGGGCAAAAAACGGCTGTTGGTACACTTCTATGATTTGTGCGTGTCATCTCAACACTTGCAGGTGCATCGGATACACTTGAGTGAAGCAAATGGTGTGACCTCCATCGAGACAGCAGCGGAAGAACGTAGATTCGCGGTCCAGGCTAGAATCAACAGGCATTGGTCAAATATCGTTGTGTATTGTATGTTGCACTGGGTGCCGGTGCAGTGGTTGCGTGAACTCGATTTGCATGGACTTGCAAGTTACTGTCGCTCATCAAGTTTTCAGACAAGCGCTTAGTGAGTGTCAGCAGATTTGCTTGTAGAACAACTTCTTGTTCAAGATCGCCTTTGACACTGCAAGTTAGCCCACCTCATGAGATGCACCATCCTCCAAGACCTTAACATGATCCAAGGGGCTTGTGCTCAACTGCTGCAGCTCTGTCTCTTTCATGTTTCTTCATCCTACTTGATTGAACTTCTAAGACTTGGAGAAGCCCTGGGCGCTACCCCTAAGTTGTTCAGTCGCCGACACAGCGCATGTTGATCAGTGGACTTCCCGTCAAAAGCCCCTTCCTTAGTGTCAAGTGCTAGCAGCATGCCCCAGACATTCTTGGGGCTCAGAAATCCAACGCCGTTTATATATCATAGATTGAATTCTCTCAATCTTAACATACTTACCTCAACTCTCAAAGCTTCCTTGAAACCTCCAGACCTCTCGATCCAAGCACTTCGAGAAGGACCTCGTGACACTTCCGCGACACTTCAGAGCCCACAAGGCTTCCACGACGTGGCATTCCGAAAGCCCTTCTCAATGGCCGGAACCTTAGGCCGCAGAATCCTGGAAGGAAAACCTCAAAGCAACCTCGTACAGCCTCGTACCATCCTTGTGCACATGGGCCATTGTGATAGCCTGAAGATTCCACAATACTAATACTGTACATAAGTTTTTCCGTAGAACAAATTATATAAATTGGATGTTTAGATTAGAATCTCATATCAACAATGATAAGGTCTCGCTGCAGATAAATACGTCTCTAAGCCTTGTGAGTCAAGTCATGCATTTGGGAAGGAAATCCGACTACATGGCCTTTCAATTGAAAGAAAGGGACTGGATTTCCCTAGCTAGGACAGCTTCCATGTTCATCAAGCAAGTCACCCCAGCATATTCCGGTTGATTTCAGACGCATGTGCACGGTGGCGGTTTCTTGCGCATGACCGGGCTTCTTGCGTATGAAGGAGGGATGTCGTGACCAATCAACTTGTTGACAAATTCAATGCCCTCCTAGCGGTGCATCGATGCCTCTCTGGCGACTCACAATGCTTCATCGACGCATTCCATGCACCAAAATGCACGAAAGCTATCTAAGGAATTATCTAAGGAATTCATTGGTGTCTTCCACGCAGAATCCTTACTCCTTGCCTTACAAGGAGCGGCATCATGTGGCCTCTAGCAAACTCGTTCCGCCCAATTCCAAGCAAATCTCACGCAACTCTCCTTGTCATCTAAGTGTTCCTCTTCCGGGATTGGCTCAAAATAGCCCATGACCTTCCACCAAGAGCTGGTGTGGAAGCATCTGTAAGCATGGTGACAGGAAAGAAAATCTCGCAGCCGTCACCCTGTAGTCTGTTGTTTGTTTGGCTCCAGCCCTTCGGACGAGGCATATCTGTGTGTGTGAGACAGATCGAAACTACGAATCACCATAGTAAAATTAAGAGTTGTGCCAGAAGCGGAAGAAGTCAGCCGAGTAAACACCCCAAAATTGCTCAAGCCTGCACCCTCAACTGCAACCAGCACAAGACCATGTGCCCAACTTCAAGCAGCTACCGTTCCCTTTGATGCAGTCGCAATGTAGACTCGGCAATAAAAAAATGGATAACACTGCTGACCAAACTGTAGGTAACAAAATGGGCTCAATCCCAATTCGCCATGAGAATGTGTCAATTGAGTCAGTTCTCAGGGGCAATTCTGAGAGCTATTATGAAAAGTGGAAAAGTGCAGCTCAGAGGACTGTTGATGTCATACGAACTGTCAGCCAGGATTTCTCCTTGCTGCAAACAAACACTCAAAATACTGCGTATATACAACATAATATAACAATATAGTATAATGTGATATAGCATAATACAATATCGTATGATATGATATGATATTATATATTGTTTTAGTACAGTATAATAACAATATTTTTATGTATATATCAAAAGATCCGAGCCTGTAAAGGCAACTACTATTTCCATTCAAACCAAGTTCCCCTTCGACTGTGCCACACAATCACCATTTCCCTGCACCCTTTGGGTGGGTCTTCCCAATTTCTCAGAATAAGAATCCCGATGCCCACACTGCCCGCACTGCCCGCACCTTGCCATACTGCCCACGTCCACCAGACTGACGCTTGTGCGTGTACTCATATGCAATTTTGTTGGTGATCGTCCTGGCGTCATGGGCATAAAGTCTTAAAGGCTGAAATGCTGTTAGTTTTTTTTTTTTGCCCGCTCCCCCCCTCCCTAATTGATTGAGTAGGCGCCTACTGAATTAAGTAAGGGAGAAGCAAGCTAGTAGGCTGAGTTAGCTTCTAGACATGAACGCAAAATACCTCCACTTCTTCAAGGAAGCTCCCCCTCCACCCTAAAGGTGGCGAGGGGGAGCTTGCTTGAAGAAGCCCTCGCACTAGTGATTTGGTTCTTAGATTTGTAGGGAGACTTAAGTTGGATCCTGCAGAAAAAGACATGTGTTGATCCCGCTTCACACACATGCATGGCCACACTTGGCACCCAAACTCTCTGTAGTTCACCTTCGGCTCACCAGTCTTTAGAGATTCTACCTGCACAGAAAGCATGTGCAAGCAAGTCCTTTCTTGCAGCTAGGAGATGTGACATCACGCTCCTCTTTCAAAAAGTGATTGCAACAAGTTGTAAAAATGTGTTGGGCCTTCGTTCTTGTGCTACCAGCATTCTCTCCAGCACAATCACAGCTGGGGCTGGAACAGCAAACAGCCCAGCTAGATGAAATTGTTCTTCCGGATTTTTGTAAAATGCATTATAAGATGTTATAAGACCTTGCGCAAGGACGCTACGTTCGGGGCTCCTGCCTTACTACTAGGAGATCTCCTCGGACGCTACGTTCGGGGCTCCTATAAGACCAACGCAACGGAACACCTTCACCTCTCCACCCGAGCATTTGTTGTTTTCGAGGTGAGACGGTCGTCTGCGGTTCTCGGAATCTGCGGTTCTCGGTGAGAAGGCCGACACCCGACACCCTTCTTCGGGCGCGAGAAAACGCACTTGAATTTGGAGGAGATGAGGGTTCTCCAAGAGTGGCGGTTGGTATTTCTCAACCTGGTAGGCATTTGAGTTGTCTGAGACCGCAACACTGTGTGCCTGTACATCTTTGCAACGTCTCAGGTGCGCGACTGGAAAGGCATGCTTCGACAGCCAAGGCGTCAGCCATGCCTACGTCGTCAGGAATACAAACGCCCAACAAGAAATGAGCCATCATGATGGCTGGCTTCCCACAGCCTTGGTCGAGCCAAGGGCACCCAAACCAAACAGCATTTTGCTGGGTCGACGAAGCCACCGATACGATACGTTCGATTTCGACCAAGGCTCGGATTGAAAGGCCTTCCGAATGAATTCCTGGAATCGCTTCGCGTATTGCACCTCACATGTTCGAAGCTGCCGTCGTCCCAACGATTAAAGGTGCCGTCGTCCCAGGTCCCGCCTGGTCCCACCTCCCCTGCGCCCGATGCCCTGTGTGCAACTCCTGTGCACTAGCCCACCGCCATCCTTTCAAAAGCCACCAAAGTCATCCAAATTCAACTTGAAATGCATCAAATCATTGACATAGAAGACACATGAAAACACCAGTCAGGTAGAGAAAACTGAGAGAACCATAAAAGGATGGAAAGGACTTTGGAAAGGATGGCGGGTCGGCCGGTCATAATTGGTCTTGGAGGCCCCCAACAGGTAGAGCCCTCACCTTCAGTGTCTCAGATCTAATCCGAGTCACGGGCTCCACGATGGTCGGCTCATGACGCTGAACTAACTTCTTCACGGTGGACTCCAGCCTGCAGCGATGTGCAGCATGGGAGAACAGTCGGTGATAGAGAGGGAGCGAGAGGAGAAAATCGGCTGGGTGAGGCAAACAAAAAACAATGAGGGACCTGCTTACAGTAGATGAAAATTATGAAGGAATCTTAATCTTTTGGATCCCCCTCGGTCTTGGGGGGAGACCGGAACAGTTTTGTTGCAGAAAGAGCTCTGCAAATCCATTGCACGTTCTGCACGTTGGGCTCTTAAACTAAGCCGTAGGAGGTGTCCATCAACCTCACGTCCACCATGATGGGGGCAAGGTTGTGCGGATCCAGTGGATCCAGGAGTCGCATGGTAAATCCATCAGCTACCCATACTGCCTGTGAAGGTAGGGTACAGTACTGTGACTTGAGGCAGGGTCAACGTCAAACATCATGTACTGGCCAAGTTCTTTGAAATGGTCCGAGTGTCTAAAAGACCCACTTGCAGAGTTCATCTATAGGCTTCTGCATGAATTCTTGCAAATCATCTCATTCTGTCTACAAAGTCCCTCAAATAGAGCTGAGCAAAGCCCAAACTAAAAAGAATAGAAAAAGGTTTGTCCCGCCAGCCCGGAAGGCTCTATCTTCATCTCTTCTTTCTGCCCAAGCGGCTGTTTGTTCAGAGTGTAAGGCTGCAGAAAATCGATGATTGCAAGTCTCACCCTTTTCGACTCCAGGTGAAAAGCCATCAACAAGGAGTAGTCCACCAGCCCCAGCTCACGAAGGACGTGCAAGTCACATTTCCTTTCCGCACCGAGGGCCCTAAAGGTCCCTAAAGGTCCCGAATTCCCCAAGTTTGAAGGATACCACAAACCTGCATTGCTCATTGCCTCCATGAAAACTACAACTTGATTCATAACTTCATACTTCGTATGCGTGTACAAAGTACATGAGTAGCAGGAAAAATGGTTGCGTGGTGTGAATATATTATCGTGCGCCACGTCCAGAACGATAGCGTAATCCTTTTTGGCATGTTCAAAGCGTGCATGTTGAGACCCCACGACCACTCACTAACTACTGATCATTCAAGTTCACTAATTTGGGCTCTAGGTCATACAACTTCAAGAAGTCATCCCGCCAAGCTTCAGCGCCAGCTCTAGGGCCTCCTGATCTGCTGGCTTCAGCACCTTGGGCAGTGCCCCAAACATTTCCACGAAGCCGCCATCCCACTTCACGGCCGCTTCCTCGTTCGCCCCGTTCGGCGCATGCCGGTGGGCGGCACCTTTCACATCGAAGATCTGCCAGTCCTCGTTGATGTCCTGTAGCAGGTTCCGCATGATGAGGATGGTGCGTGTCCTTGGTGGAAAGAAGCGCCCAAGAGCACCTCCAAAGAGTGGTGCTACTGAAGTTCTTGGCGAGGTCAAGAAAGATTCAGCAAAAAATCTGTCAGAAAATGAATGAAATGGATGGGGGAAAGGTGGCAATGTGATTTCTTTGGGGAGCTCGGTTCGCATCAAAGAGTCTGCTGTCGCTTCCCCAGTTTCGAGACCTTGAAGAGGCCAAAGACTTCGCAAAGCAACGAGGGCTCGCCCCTCAGTGCTTCTGCGAGTCTGACTGCAAAGGGACCTGCCATGCTTGCAAGATGACTCGCTTCTGCTGCGCGGACTTCCTTGAGAAGGAGTTGCCCGCAAGCTGACTTCCAGAAAGCGCTCTTGCTCTTCCCTCCAGAGGTCTGGTGTGAACCGCAGCGCCGCAAAATCTCGCAGAAGTTCGCATCGTTGCCAAAGCCAAGGTGTCGCAGCAAGTGAAAGCGAAGTGGAGCCAGCACTTCAACGTTCCAAGAAGTGCCGTCTGGAGCCTGACAGGGAGAAAGGTGTGGCCAGGACGATCAAACATGATCAAACCACGAGCGCCAAAGTAAAATTGGTGACACGTGCCTAACATTTTCTACCCAACCCAGTCCTTGACCATGCTTGGGATGGAAGAGTCCTCCCCTTCAATCGAACAGAAATCACAGTGCTCCACGTTGCTCGACACGCAGCAAAGTTCTCCTGTTTCTTTCAAGCAATGACCTTGCAAGCGGCTGCGCAACAGTTCCCAATGCTGGGTAGACAACAGCGCATGCGCAATGATAGCTCCAACGTCGTCTGCGGTCTCCATGATCGATGGTAGGGGAATAGCCATGCCCTTGATTCCGCAAGAGACTCGGAAATCATAGGGCTCCTGATAGCCAGCATGTTCAAAAACTCGCCGTGGCTCTGTACAAAGGTTGGCCCAAGTGTCGCTTAACAAGGAAGATGAAGAGCCTCGAAATGTGATCGGTTGGGGCTGATCCTCGCCATCAGCGCCCACCAAGGATGAATAAAAGCGCTTCAGGATCATTCTGGGATCCATGCTTGCCAGTTTCGGAACGCCAACATAAAGCAAGGAATCCAAGGAAGAGTCATCCAAAGACTTGCCCTTGTCTCCTCAGGAGCTGGCCGTGCAGGCAGCCATAGCAGGAGGTCTCTTCAATTCAAATTTGAACCTATTACAGGCAGCAACTGCCACACACTCTTAGCTGTTTGGTGTTGTATGGTTTTGTTCTTCAATGCAAGTTAGGGGTACAACTTATGGCGTTTGATTGTCAATGGCACCACTTAGAATCGACTTAGAACCAGCAGGAAAGAACTGTCCAAGTTCGTGGCCCCTCCATCAAATTCCACTTAAGAAAAAAAACGGTGAAATAAATAGAATGAAAGAACAAAACCTGTTCATACATTTTTAGACATCCTCAGACCTGACGTGGGTCACCCTTTGCAGCTTTGGCTCTGCAGTTCTGCTCTTCCTGGAGCCCAAACTTCGGGGGAGCCGACAAAGAGCGCTGCCGCCGCTTCTCCGTCTTGGCAAAGCCGATGTCGGTGCAGCGCCGAGTCAACCTCAGCTGAACGTTCGAAACCTGGCCCTTGGATGTTGCTCTTTTCATTGCCCTTTTCATTGCTCAATTGTTCATAATTATGCTTGTTTGATGTTTCTTGGTGGACTTCCAGTCGCCATCATCCCCATTACGGCGGCGGTGGTGGCAAGCAAGTGTGTTCCTCTTCAGCGGTAGTCAAAGCATCGGAGCAGATTGGAGCAGCAGGTCCTTGATTGAGCAGGTCCTTGAGCTTGGATAGAATAAGCAAGGAGGCAAAGCATATGCAGGGCCCAGTGGGAGCTTGTTGCGGAGCATATGCAAGTTTCGGGCAGCATGAGGAGGTATTGAAAAAAACAGGTCGACATGTCACAATTCTCACTTCTGTTGGAGAGTTTGCTTTAGCATGGCTCCAGGGACAGGGCATCCAGCAAGGCGTTCCAGGGACAGAGTGGGTCTGATTGGGAATCGTGATGATACTGCAGTGCTTGGATTTGGATAGATTTGGTGCGCAAACAACAATTGCAAGTCCTCAACTATGAATTCAAACAAGGCTTCGGAACACACACAGGGCCTAGAATCTATCAGAGGAAAGGCCTGGGCCAAGCAGACTTCTATATCAAGAAACTTGCTTTTGGCGATGATCTTCGCGGGGATGCCTCGGCTTGTGCATGCCTGAGAGATGTCTATGTCCTCCTCTGTATCAGAGGCCTCGGCTTGTTCAAGATCACCTGGTACTTCAAGATCACCTGCGAGCAGCTGGTTGCACTCTGCCAAAGAGCTGTGTAAATGGCATGTCATCCCCAGGTTTACCAATGGAGGTCCTTCGTCCCAGCATTGCAGCTTGCCGGCACAGCGCCGCAAGATCGATGAAGCTTCCAGCAAGCTACGGCTTCGCAGAGCACATTTCAAAGCCCGTTCGTCCGAGTGATTCCAAAACCAGGCATTGCGCTTCGGCACCTGACCATCGGATCCCACCTGCCGAAAGTCACGCAGTACATTGCTGAGCTGTGACTCCAGGAGCTGTTCCGCGCGGTGGAGCACTGCAATGAGCTCTTCCTTGATTCCCGGCCCTGGCACCGCCTCGCAAATGTCCTGTTTTGGGATGAGGGGCCTCAAAGGAGGCCCTCTCATTTCCAGCGCCAAAGGCTCCACCACATTCACGGCGAAGGTCGCATTTGCCAGCTCCCACGACCCGCTGGCGAAGCTATGGCCACAGGGCAACTCATGAGGGCAAAACCACAGGAGCGAAAAGAAAGCGGCCACGGGCATTTGGAGCAAACGATCCTGCAGGTCCAGACATCACCAGACACAAACAAATGCGATCATGAATACTTGCCAAGAAAAAATAAAGCGAACCAATCCAAAACCAAACAGACGCGAACCAAGCATTTCAATGCGTGCCTGTGGCATAGTCCACTTGGATTTGCAATCTTGGCATCTCAGCCATGAACTTCTGCCTGAATCTTCCTGAAAAGTCAGCAATATCCGGCGCTCACCACAAAGGTAGGCACCCCGGTGGAGCAGCAAAGACTGCTGGCACTGGGGGCATTGATGCCGTGCTTCCTCCAACAGCTCTTCCAGCTTCCTTGAGCAGCCAAAAGGACTTGCGGCCAGCAAAAGTAGCCAGCAGCGGGGGCGGTCACCGTCCTCTTCCTTCCCTTGCAAAAGGAAGGAGCACTGGTTGCCCTGAAAGTAGCAGGGAAGGCCATGTGCATTCTTCACAAACACTCATCCAGAATGAAAAACACTGTCTCGTACATGCTGTTGCAATCTTTTTGGTGGTAGGATTCAAAAGCAGCATGCGATAAGCATCACATCATATCACATCCGCTTTCACTACAGGCTCGAACGGAGAGCAATTCGCTGGCGTCCACTTCATCCGTTTTTGCTACAAAATGTAAGCGTGATAGAAGAATCCTACACACCTTCACACGCGTCTGACCCCGTCCTGGGCTCCCTCAGCCAAGGGATAAGGTGCCAGCTCAGGGCACGACTCCGCCTCCAGTTCCTCCGCTTCGCCTCCTTCAGGAGGCTCGAGCTCGGAGCGTGCACTCAGCGAGCGCAGCCAGCCGAAGAAGCCCTGGGCCAGTCGCAGAACACGTCACCGTGTGATTTGCCCTGCTTCAGACTTCACTGGCAAGTTATATGGGGACCAGCAAGAATGGCTTCAAAATTGAGGCAATTGTTAGGTAGGTACAAGAAACTCTTGAGGATGTGCTCCGTGCCAAGCAACTTCTGATGATCTCCCTTCGCATTGGCCCAGAACCTCAGAAAGCCACTGCTCAGTGGGGCTGCAGTCCACATCGTCATCCATTTGCTGCCAGCATCATCGCTTCAGGCTAGCTTGCCATGCTTCAGCAAGCGGATAGCTGTTTTGGGCGACTTGAAGCTGTAGATTTATGGTAGACGTGTGTAGGGTATGGGATGTGGACATGTTGGGGGCAAGTTGGACATGCTGCCGAAAAGCTCCAACATTGGGACAGATTTGACTTTGCCGCATTGACGAAAAGCTTGCTGCTAGCTCGGCTATTCCTTTGAAGCACAGTGGGTAACCTATTCTGTAAAACGCATTTGAATGTTGTAACTTGGTCAAACGAAGAAGTCCAATAAGTTGGATCGAAGCTGATGGAAGCCGCGTGAGGAAATTGCAGCAGCATGGCAACGATTCTTTCCGTCTTGCCCTCCTTTTGCACCATCACTTACAACAGCTTCGCTGTGATGCGCTATGCACTTAGGGAATTTTCATTGTATGCGATCCACGTCGCTTTAACATGGATGGACAGCCTGGCCCAGCCTTGAACTCCCGCCGCATGCGTTCACAGTACACCTCCAAGTGAAGCTCGCCCATGCCGGAGATGACGGTCTCATTCCTGCAGCGACGTCCATCAATCCTAGGCCCCGAAGTAAGATCTGCCTGAGGCCTGGCAGCCGAAACCAAACCTGATGATATGTGATTGGAAGGAGAACGCACGGCCACCAAACCCTCACCAAACCTCGAAAAAATATTAAAGGATTCTCTCCCATGTCCACTTGCATCGGCTCACCAGGAAACCCCACGTATCTTGCTTCACTTCCACGCGGAAGGTGGGATCTTCACCTCAGCGGCCAGCGGCACCCGCGCTCCCGAGAGAGTGGCCGGTTGGATCCCCTGGGTGAAGGATCAAAAGCCACCAACTGCAAGGCCCACACGTTGGAACCTTCTCAACGCCTCGTCCAAGCTCACAAAGGATAAACAAAAAAACTGGATATATAACAGGCTCATGCATCCCAGTTTTGCAATGAAGCTCACATATGGGCAAGCGTTTCCTGTGATTGTCTTGAGCTATTGGCCACATAAATGCTCACTCTTGCACACAAGCCTTCTGCATTCGACCTTGGTCATCCCGGGAGGCATCTATGGCGATGGACATTACCTCAGACGAACAGCCAGTTCACCCGTAGTTAATTTAGGAAGGAATAATAATATATAAGTTTATCAAAAAAGAAGTAAAACAAAAACACACAGTGTTTTGAAAAAAATGCGTTGTTCGTCCATTATTTAATGTAGTAAAGAAAATATATATCTGTTAAAAAAAAGAATGCAAAAAGACGAACAAAGAAGAATATGTGCGTTTATTTCTTTTTTATGGCGAGTCCCTTGTTTGATTTATATAGTCATGAAGAAAAAGACGTTAAAGAAGAAGAAGAAGAAGGCAAATAATAAATTACATCAATTTCTCTTCAAGTTTTGCTTATGATTTGTCCCTTACTTCACTTACTAAGGGAAGAAGTATATCAAAAAATTAAAGAAGGCCCTGCTGCAAACAGAACAAATGTACTAAGCCAATCAGGCCCTTTCACCAGACAAAAATCTAAGAGCAAGGCTTTCAAAAAGAAAGACGCGCCTTCAACCCTCCACGATGTTCACAAGATTGGCAGCAAGAATCCACCTTGGAAGGCCTTAGCCTTGGACATTCATATTGCGCCAAGTACATCCACCCTTTCTTGTAGCAAAGCTTTTTGATAGTAAGCGGAAAAAAAGAATTATATAAGGGATGGATGGCTAGATGGATGGATCGGTAGAGTCAGAGAGAGAGAGAGACATGAATGAGAACACATTCAGCAGAAATTGTTTTCTCTAAGTGTTTTCTCTCGTATCCCTTCTGGGTCTGACATATTATATAGATATATAGGTCGATACACACGAAATGCACATGAATCAGGAAACTGCAACAGTTTCAAGAAAACACATCGAAAATGAAGCTTGTTGCGTTAAACGCGCTCGGCGGCGCATAGGGGTAAAACTTCTCCACCACCCCCCCCACTACCACCCCGCCAAACAAAATGGCAAGCTGCTGGGTCAGGAACAAACATGGAGCTGCACCTAGGATGTCATCCGACCACTCGCCAACGAAGGCCAACTCAAAAAGCGCACTATGAAGTAAGTAGACTTTTTTAGCATCTGCATCTGGTGCACTGATCTATCACCTTCCAACAGTGTCGGGCTTTAGTAACTTCTGTCATGGAGTATGACCTGGCTCCTCCTATCACTGTAAGAACCCTCGATGTCAATATGTCCATTTTGACAATGCCTTCAAAAGAGGTGGTCAAAGTTCACGGTTTGCAAAAATGACATGCAAATGAGTTGCTTCTAAATGGGGTTGATGCCTCTGGATGTGCTTTGATGTTGGTCTCACATTCTTTTGAACAAAAGGTCATCGGCACAAGGGTTGGCCCCTGTCCGTTGCGCAGCAATGTGCCCTTCTTCCAGCCTTACAATAGTCCTGTGTCTTCATCACGAGACTCTTGTCGCGTAAGAATTCAAGGATATAGGCTGTTTCTGAGGGAAATCACGAATGTCCGTCAACTTACAGTAGCAGAAACGCCACGACATGCTCACCATCCTTCAATTCGGTTTCAATGGTTAGGTTGACGCCATTGCTCTTAGGTTGGAGGCCGTCGCTCTTAGGATGACATCGCTCTTAGATTGCAGGCCATCGCTCTTAGGTTGGAGGACATCGATCTTAGGTTGGAGGCCATCGCTCTTAGGTTGGAGGCCATCGCTCTTAGGTTGGAGGACATCAATCTTAGGTTGGAGAGGCCACCACTCT